CTTAGTTAGACTGAGTTTTTAACGTGCATGGTCAGAAAATTCACACTAAAATGCATCAAAAGATCAAATTACAGCCTGTTTTATGCTGCAGATTGAAGGACTTTACTCTTTCTGTCTGTGTCAACTTAGTTAAACAGAGTTTGTAACATGCACGGTCAGAAAATTCACACTAAAATGCAACAAAAGCAAAAAAAAAACAACTAACGTTTTATGCTGCAGATCGAAGGACTTTACTCTTTCTGTCTGTGTCAACTTAGTTAGACTGAGTTTTTAACGTGCAAGGTCAGAAAATTCACACTAAAATGCATCAAAAGCAAAAAAACAACTAACATTTAGGACTGAAGTTCCCTCTGGAGCCAGATTTAGGGATTTAGGACTCAAGAGGGAGAACAGCCCCAGAACATGTGCTGTTATTATCCTCATTCACACAGAACAGTTTTCAAAAAGATTTAAACCTGTATTGAACCTGTACTGAAGGTTTTAAACGCTTGTCGAATTGTTTCCTCACATCTTCTGCAGATCTGTCTGGATCCACATGAAGTTGGTTCAAATTTGTTGCTGTTCCTCCAACTTCAAGACACTTTAATTAATTTTTTCCTCATAATTTTAGCAAAACATTTAAAATATTGTGCGTTTTATTCATTTTCTATCAAGGAGTCTGTTTGACTCGGGCTCAAAAACCAAAAAAAGGCCTCCAATAGCTTTAGTTTCTCCAGAAAATGTAATCCCATAATACCAAAAATTAACTTTAATGTTCAGAAAACAATAAACCAAAAGCTAATTAGGGTCTTGTTTTCCACATTTCTAATAAATATTTCTAACTGTCTAAGGATCTAAGGATCTGTTAATCCTAATTGGGTTAAATGAATTCACACTTAACTATTAACACTATAATTTATTTGATATCACATTTGACTAATTGGTCCACCATTAGGTAAGAACTATGAACTTGAAATTAATTTAAGCCACATATTTACATTCAAGCAAAACCTGAAAGACCCTTCGGAGAAAAATGATTTATTGTTAAAATATTAATCTGTCAGGTTTATTTACTTTGCACAATACAGAGCATTTTAAAGCACAACAGTTTGCTAATAATATGCTAACCCTCAGCTAACAGTTACCTAACGTTTGCTAACTCTTAGCCAACAGTTTGTTAGCAATATGCTAACTCTTAGCCAACATTTTGACAGTAATATGCTTTCCCGTAGCCAACAGTTTGCTAGTAACTTGCTAACCCCTAGCCAACAGTTAGCTAAATGTTTGCTAACAGGTAGCTAAAAGCATGCTAATAGTCGGTTAGCTATCAGTATACCAGCAGCTGTTAGCAATGTGGCACAACACAACTGATTGAACATCAGTCTAGATTAAAAATAAAGCTTCTATCTGACCGAAGACTGAAACCAGTCTTAGGCTATGGATACAAATTATACATACATTAACAGATATTTTTCTTTTTTTTTTAAAGGAGTAAAAATAGTATTTTGATTATTTTTGCTTTTAAATCTGAAACAACTTTGAAAAAAGATCCTAACGATTTCTATAATGAAATATATAATTATTGAACAGAATTCAAATTACTGGGAGAGAATTTTACTTAAGTTATTGTATAAGGTTAATCTATTCGAGAGGAGTAAAATGTTGAACGTTTAAGTTTAATTACAAGCTTACGTTTGTACAGATGAACACTATAAACATATTTTTTTGTGAGCAGATCATGAAGAGGTGGATTGAAAGTACAATATCCTCCTGAGACCCAAAGAAAAAAAGTGTCTTCAATTTTCTTTTTTGTTGTGATTTTCCATGTATTTGGACCTAAAAAAGAACATTACAATTTAATTTTTTTAAAAATATCTTTAATTTTAATTTCATAGCATGTCCACTGTGGAGGACAACAGGACGATTTGCATGGGAAAATAGAACAGGCTTTAGATAATTAAATAATAAAAAAGAAGATGTCTTGAAAGGGATATTTACCTAAGAACTCTTAGGAAAAAAGTAAAGTTCCCAGCATGCAAACCTATCACACGGCACATCACTGGAAAGCCCAGGATGTCCTCTACAGAACACTATAGGGCTTGATAGGGTAACTCCAGATACTTAGGGGGGGTACAGGTGGACAAAATGTCCACTATAATGGACATAAATGAATGGGCCGGGTCTCAGGAGGTTATTTTAGTACAAGCTAGTCTGAATGTGTGAGGACACCATGGTACGTAATCACCCCACTGGGGTCTATTCATAGGAACGATGTGTAGAGCAGTGAAAGGGGATATTTTCCTGCTCAGCCCTCTCCAGGAATCTGCCATTAGAAGGTCACAACCTGCTGCCCATGCAGATGTTCATGCATGTAAAAAAAAAACCTTTTTTGCCTTCCAGATAAGATATGCGACCAGATCAGCGATGCTGTGCTGGACGCCCACCTGAAGCAAGACCCCGAGGCCAAAGTGGCCTGTGGTGAGTGTGTGTTGTGTTGTGTTTTAGTCCAGTAGAGCAGTGTTTTTCAACCTTTTTTGAGCCAAGGTACATTTTTTCATGGAAAAAATCTCGAGGCACACCACCATCCAAAAATGTCAAACAAATCTGTAGTAACTCTATAGTTATTCTTATTTTATTCTTATCTTATCTTAATTGTCTTGAATAGGAATCAAATAAACACAAAAATGTATTTTTATCATATTTTATATTTCTTCTTTCAAATTGCACTTAACATTATATTCAAAATCTAGTCATAAGGAATTATTACATGATTACACCACCAGTCACTAGAACAGCACAGACACTCAAAAATGGCATATTATTTGCAGAAAATTATCCCCAAATTGTTTTAGACCAATTAGGTGAAATAGGATGATTTTCTAAGGCCAGATATCTCAAATTGTATTATGACTAGACGTTTTAGCGATTTAAGATATCTCTCATTATATTTTGACTAGTCAAAATACCTATTTGAGATATCTCTAATTACATTCTGACTAGTCGAAATGACGTCAGATTTACCATTGAGTTGTATGGAGACTTCAATTCAAGATATCTACAATGAATTACTGACTATCTGAAATACACATTTCAGATATCTACAATTAAATTACGAGTAGTCATATAGTAAATTCAAGATATCTCAATTTTAGTTTTGACTAGTCATAATTCTAATTAAAGATATCTCAAATGACACCATAATTCAAGATATCTTAAATGTATTTTTGGATAGGAGAAATGTAGTTTTGACTAGTGAAAATTAAATTATAGATATCTTAAAAGTAAATAATGACTAGACAAAACTAAATTTAAGATATCTAGAATTGTAATTTTGACTAGTCAGAATGTAAATAGAGATATCTTAAATTACCATTCCGGATAGTCAAAATGTAGTTTTGTCTAGTCAAAATGCAATTTTAGATATCTGGAATGTAATTACGGATAGTCAGACGAAACCGAATTTATGTTAAAACGGCTTGCCATAGGCAGCACACCGGTGAATATACCACCATATAACGGTCTGATTATTTAAATGGTTTACAGACCAGGCCGGTTTAAAGGGATCTGGTGTAAAGAGTAAAATAATTTTTATTAAGTCAGTAAAAGTGCAGATACTTGAGTTAAATTGCAGATACGACACATTATTTTAGACATTGTTTGGGTGTTTTCTTTATGTAAAAATATATTTATAGGTTTGGTTTCTTGTTGTATATTACATATATTAAATTTTTAAGCTATTAGCTCTGTTAACAGTTAGGAAAAAAAGAAAAAAAAACTACAGTTAGCAAATAGTTAGTTGATGGTGGGCTTAATATTAGCTGAGTTGAGAATAGTTGAGAAATAACTAGGAGTTAGTCAACACGGTTAGTCAACAGTTTGTTAATAGTAAATCAACAGTTAGCCAACAGGAATGAACAACTTGCTAACAGCTAGTAAACAGCAAGCTATACAGTTTTCTGACAGCTAGTTAATAGCTAGCTACACAGTTTTCTAACAGGTAGCTACACAGTTTGCTAACAGGTAGCTATACAGTTTGCTGACAGCTAGTCAACAGCTAACTACATATTTTGCTAACAGCTAGTTAACAATGGTTACACGGTTCGCTAACAGCTAGTTAACAGGTAGCAACACAGTTTGCTAACAGGTAGCGATACAGTTTGCTGACAGCTAGTTAACAGCTAGCTACATATTTTGCTAACAGCTAGTTAACAATGGTTACACGGTTCGCTAACAGCTAGTTAACAGGTAGCAACACAGTTTGCTAACAGGTAGCTATACAGTTTGCTGACAGCTAGTTAACAGCTAGCTATATCTTTAGCTAACAGCTAGTTAACAATGGTTACACAGTTTGCTAACTGCTAGTTAACAACTAGCTACAGAGTTTGCTAACAGGTAGCTATACAGTTTGCTGACAGATAGTTAACAGCTAGCTACATATTTATCCAACAGTTAGTTAACAATGGTTACATAGTTTGCTAACTGCTAGTTAACAGGTAGCTACTCAGTTTGCTAACAGGTAGCTATACAGTTTGCTGACAGCTAGTTAATAGCTAGCTACATCTTTAGCTAACAGCTAGTTAACAATGGTTACTCAGTTTGCTAACTGCTAGTTAGCAGCTAGCTACACAGTTTGCTAACAGGTAGCTATACAGTTTGCTGGCAGGTAGTTAACAGCTAGCTACATATTTTGCTAACAGCTAGTTAACCATGGTTACACAGTTTGCTAACTGCTAGTTAACAGGTAGCTACACAGTTTGCTAACAGGTAGCGATACAGTTTGCTGACAGCTAGCTACATATTTTGTTAACAGCTAGTTAACAATGGTTACACAGTTTGCTAACTGCTAGTTAACAGGTAGCTACACAGATTGTTAACAGCTAGCTACACAGTTTGCTGTTAGCTAAAAGCAGTTTGCTAACAGCCAGGAGTTACCAGCCTTCCTGTTGCCATGTTAAAACATCATAAAGAGTTGTTTTTTTGGCTGATTTGTGTGTGACAGAAGTAAATTATTCTTTAAAATTCTGCCTGTGTGCTTTGACACAGAGACGGTGTGTAAGACGGGGATGGTTCTGCTTTGTGGGGAGATCACGTCTCGAGCATACGTAGACTACCAGACAGTGGTGAGAGACGTGATCAGAGACATAGGTTATGATAACTCCAAAAAAGGTGAGTGAAAGCTCCAGCTTATCCACTGAAATTATTCTTTAAAATGAAGGTTTTGAGTCTCTTTCAACACAGTTTGTTTGAACCCTCATCGGCACCTTTTTGGATGCTTTTGTTGGGATCCTAATGAATGATATGCCTATTTTTACATGACAATAAGAGTGAAAAGACCCAAAAAGTTGCCTATTTTCTGTTAGATTTCAGGTTCAGTTCCTATTTTCTCTTCAGTTTTCTCATGTAATTCTTCGGTTTCCATCTTAGCTGTTATGTCTAGTGTTTTTAGATCTTTCCAGGTTATCATTTTGATTTTTTCCCATTATTTGTTTTAGTTTGTTGTTTTTTTGTAAAGTGTTCAATAAACCAGTTTAGTTTCCTAATAGTTGTCTCATCTAAGCCTTTTTTTATTTTATTTATTTATTTCTTTAATCAGGACAGTGCGCATTAATGAACAATCTCATACAGATTGTAAATGAGCCATATTATAGCATAGTTGCTAATTTACATCTGTCGTCCTGAGGCTGGAAGACAAAACAACACACAATCACATAATACAATATCAGTTAAAACAGAGAGACACACGTTCAGACAATGACATTACAAAAATAAAATGAGTGAGTGCAAGTCTGGGAACTTTTAAGAAACAGTTTAAGGTGCTTTTTAAATGTGCAAAAAGTGGGACCTTCCCTGATGTTTGTTGGGAGGCTGTTCCAGAAGTGACCCCCTCTGACTGGTAGAAGGGTTTGTCCAGAGGTTGTTACTCTTTGGGGGATTTCTAGGTCTCCTCTGGAAGAGTCTGCCAGGTCTAATGTAGGTAGAAAATGGAGGTGGGGCTAATCCATTCAGAACTTTTTAAATCAAACAACTATTTTTATAATGAATAATGAATAGGCCTCTCTAAGCCCATCTTACCCAACTTCTTCCACCCCTTCAGGTTGAACCTCACCTGGTGACCTGTGCAGACTCATAGCTTTTATCAGTTTATTCCTTTCCTTCTCCTCTGCCCAGGCTTTGACTACAAGACCTTTAACTTGCTGGTGGCCCTGGAGCAGCAGTCCCCTGACATCGCACAGGGAGTTCACGTGGATCGCGGGGAGAGCGACATCGGCGCCGGAGACCAGGTCACCTGGACCAGATTTAGACCTCTAGCATCTAGGGTTGTCAAAAGTATCGATACTCAAAAAAGTATCGATACTAAAATGTTGTATTCGGATACGATAATCATTTTCAAAAGTATCGATACCGACGCACGACTCTAACCTGCCGTCGCTGCGCCCCTTCTCTCTGATTTATTTATGTATTTATTTACGTTGTTAATGATCATTAACAAGACGTTATTTAAGTTGTTAATGATCATTAACAAGACGTTATTTACGTTGTTTATGATCATTAACAAGACGTTAGCCCCTGAACTGCTAGCTGCGGCTAACGGCTAATAGTAACATGCTACCATTAATCAAGTACATATCCGACTCCACCCACATCGAAGTCGGCCATTTTAATTACATCACCAATAGGAAGATCCCAGGCAAGAAAATCCTAATTGCTTCATGGCAATATAGAGATTCATTTAAAAATTGTGCAATTAATCTTTCAAACACTTAATTAAACTCTATACATAATATTATGTTAAAATAGTGGATTTTAAATTGTTTGTACAATAAGTCCAAACAATTTTTACCCAAAAATATTTATTTCTCACACTTATGAAGGGTGGAGGGTCAGGGTCAGGGTCAGGGTTAGGGTTAGGGTTAGGGTTAGGGTTAGGGTTAGGGTTAGGGTCAGGGTTAGGGTTAGGGTTAGGGTTAGGGTTAGGGTTAGGGTTAGGGTTAGGGTCAGGGTTAGGGTCAGGGTTAGGGTCATTAATGCAGGCCACCAGTCACGATAACATCAGTAACAGATCAGTTTAAAATGACACTAACCTGTCCAAATTCAGTTAAATTTTGGGGTCTTTTTTTTATCCTTGTGGTATCGAAAATGGTATCGAGTATCGAGTATTTTCCTGGGTATTGGTATCGAGTTGAAAATGTTAGTATCGTGACAACACTAGTCAGGGTTAGAATTAGTTTTAGAGAGTTAGGGTCAGGGTTAGGGTTAGGGTTAGGATTAGGGTTAGGTTTAGGGTCAGGGTTATGGTCAGGGTTAGGGTCATTAATGTGGGCCACCATAACATCAGTTACAGGTCAGCTTGAAACCAAAGACACTAACCTGTCAAAATTCAGTTAAATTTGGGGGTCTTTGTTTTTATCCTTGTGGTATCGAAAATGGTATCGAGTATCGAGTATTTTCCTGAGTATCGGTATCGAGTTGAAAATGTTAGTATCGTGACAAACCTACTAGCATCCCAGGAAGGGGCTAACTGCACTCCCTGGGTGTGAACAGGGCCTGATGTTCGGCTACGCCACGGACGAAACGGAGGAGTGCATGCCCCTCACCGTGGTCCTCGCACACAAACTCAACGCCAAGATGGCCGACCTGAGGCGCAGCGGGGCCGTGCCCTGGCTCCGCCCAGACTCAAAGACTCAGGTGGGACCAAAAGATCAGAAGTTAAAGCTGTGCAACTGGCAGTGGTGGGAAGTAACTTCATTACTGTACTTAAGTACAATTTCCGTGTATCTGTACTTTACTTAAGTAGATTTAATAATGGATACTTTCTACTTTTACTCCACTACATTTAACAGTAAGTATCTGTACTTTCTACTTCACTACATTTCTATACAGTGTTTCGTTTCTCGTTACATCCAAGATGCATTTCGTTTTTTTTAATTTGTTCGTTAGTTTGAAAGTATCCAATGGCGAGAGCAGAATCAGTCCGCTGAACCAATCCAAAGCGGGAAATAACCATTAGGCCCTCCCTCAAGAAGAGCAGCACAGTACCAGGACCTGCATAAAATATCTAAATCTAAACTGTCACAGGGGGTAAACACAATAAAAACATGCTTTATCTGCAGCATTGCTCATTAAAATGGTACATTACTGATTTATTCAAACTAAATACGATAGGTACACTTAATGGCAAGTACTTTTACTTTTAATACTTAAGTAGTTTTAAAAGCTTGTACTTTCTTACTTTTACTTAAGTAAAATAATAATGTGGTACTTTGACTTTTACTTGAGTACATTTTTGTCTGTGTATTTGTACTTTTACTTAAGTACATTGTATGAGTACTTTCTCCACCACTGGCAACTGGAGCTCCTAGGGTTAATTTAGAGTAACCTAGGAGCTCAATATGTGTGGTTTTCAGGCTTCGTGCAATCCAATTAAAGCCAATTACAACCC